GTTTTTTATCCAGACGCAAACATAGTTGTCGTGACGCTACCTGCAATGCTAGGACTGTTCGATTCTATGCATCTTTTGCATGGGACTGCGAGCCGAGCTCATCTTAACCTCCTCTAACACGATATTTTTCGCTTCGGCGACGCGGCCCGGTGCGGATCGGCCACGAGGATCCCGTTTCTCCAACGGCCTCATACAATCGCCTAATCGCTTATCGTCCGCCACGCAGGCTTTGCGAAGATGCAGCAAAACTATCTAAACGTACTTCGTGACATTTTCAAGTAGTGTGCTAACACCCCAAGCTGTTTGATCAGGCGGGGTCTCTTTCAGCATTGCGGCATTGCCAGAACTTCCCCTCCCCAACTGGTGAACTTAGCAAACGTGAAACTTGCACGGTGCAAAAAAGTGAAAAACGGGTTGAACCTGGTCCTGATATCGAGCCCGGGGTCACGGCACCAGATAAGGATCGGTTGACTAAGGAAACAGTGGGAAATCGTATCGGAAAAGTGTGGACCAACCCGTCCAGCTGATCACATCCATCGGAGCGTGAAACATGGCACATGCATGCAGTCAATGTACACAACACTGGGTGAGCTTGACAGTGTCTGCCCGTTGTACGTGTACGGTCTGTGTCACTCGACGAGACGTTGCTTCGAGGGGGCTTCTTGTCATCAGTATATTTTGCCCCACGATCGCCATCCTGTAGGTCTGCTAGCATACCGTAGTTCCCATGTGACCGTGCGCCCTATCTGACCTACATGAGCGGCTTTATGGATTGTGAGTCTCTATGCTGTCAATAATCGATCATCACTATACCGAGAGGTGCTGATTAATCGCCATGAGGCAAGCAACGGTGAACGAGCAGCTACATGATCAACTTCTTTTGGTTCCAAGTGCTTGCGCGTGCTATTTATGAACAGAAAATTCGAACAAAAAATATGCGTTCAGAATATTCTAGAGAGGGAACACGGTGCGTCCCCGACCCCCCCCCCAAAAAAAAAAAAACAGTCCGCCAAGCGTTTAAGATTCCAATGTTAGAGGCGTTCAAAATGGAATTGTAGCATGAAACAGATATGAATACAGTCATTTCTCGTTGTTCAGCGCCTGGATTGTTTTAGCATTGCCCAACTGCTGTGGGCATTATCTCGGAAATCATCACAGTACAGAACGCTCAAAGCATCATCATCACCACCAACAACAACATCACCAGCATCATCATCATCATCATCACCAGCAATCATCACAGTGTTGATACGTTTGAACTGTGACGATGTATCTGCGTTGCTTGGTAACACGCAACAAATTACATACCTGGGGCGGGCAAAACGCCGTGCAATCCTCGCGCATTTTCGTGGGTTTTACAGTTGCACATGGCTTACGCCTTAACTTACGCCCTACTTGACACACACATTTGGACACCTTCAGCAAAGGAAAAACAGGCTTGAGTGCGACGCGAATAACCGCGTGCAGAGTGTCGCGTGTGCCAAAATGCGATGCGAACAAAAAACGCACATAGAAGGAAATGCGACGAGGATCACGTATACGAAAAAATACGATACGGAGATTGTTCTTGCGTGTAAATAAGTGTACGAGGAAACGGAACCTAAAAAAAATAGAGGAGGAAGAAATGCGATGCAAAAAAATGCGTATGCGGGGTTTGTGCCACGAAAATGTGGTATGAAAAAATGTCATTCAAATTAATCCGTTACGAAGCGTGGCGCGCCGAGGAATGCGTTAAAAGTGGCGTCCTGGAATCTTTCCTGCCATGAGGAAGGTCACTTTCGGTATAAGGACCCACAGTGCCAAGACACCAAGAGCTAAAGCCTTCTGAAGCACTCAAGTAACATGTAACAAGCGCCCCCTGCTTTTTTGCTGTGTCAAATACCCAAGATCACGAGCGCCGCCATTTCGGCAACGTTGAAAAAGAAACAGACGCGACGTCCATACCATTAGGCCATTTCAAAATAACATTTTCAGGGAAATGTGCGGCTGCTCAGGGCTGGTCTGGTTTTCTGGTTTAAGGTGCGTTCAATGATGTCGTCTTTGTCCAAATTTATGTACGTCAGGTGCGTGCAAGGAGTTCACAAGTTAGTAACAGTTAGAGTTGCTAGAGTTGCTCATCGGTCATCGGCCATTATGAGTAATCATGTTGCAAATTATATTATATTATAGAGACGAACGACGACTTCGGCCTGCACGCTTGAAACAAGGTCCTTGGCGCTCTCTTACCATGCTGATTCCACATTTTCGACCCTAACACCTAGAGAGTGGATCACTGGAGCAAAGGGCGATAAGGGCTAAGGGAAAGGGGGGTGGGGGGGGGGGTAAGGTAACGCTTAACACTTACATTTTTAACTGCATTGAGATGGGCATGGAACAAATCCTCGCGACGAAAGTGTCTCGATGGTATGGATGATGCGCACACAAATGTAATGCATTGCCATTTTAGCTCTCTTTAGCACTATCTGACCTTACTTGATCTTTCTGTCCTCTGTTCGACCTCCACCAAGAGAACGGGACTTGTTAAGCATGTGAAATTTGGCACATGAATTTTGGCATTTTGGCAATTGGCACATATATGGCACACGTGCGATTTGGCACAAAACGGCACACGTGTCTTCACGCCAAACTGCTACTCTATCAACTGATTGCTGCAAACACACATGCTACGTCGTAAGCATCCAAGCATGTCCGGTGCACGCTTACCAAAAACGTTGATTTTCTGCCGGTGACGCCCGCCTCCGTGATCCCCGTCACCGGCTTCTACGCCTGCGAGAATCTTGGTAATCGACACACTTCTCTTTGGCAAATCCTTGGTAACTTTTGCACATCGCTCCCATAAGCGATAATCGGATAGCCGTTGTTGGAGTCGCATTCAGAGGATGGCCTGCCCAGCCACCGGCTGGTATCGATAAGAATAAGTGGAAAAACCAGCCAAGAGAACTCATCTACGAGCCCCAACAATTCTCGATTTGACGAATGATGGCGCATCTTCAAACTCATTTGCCACCAGCACAGACGACAGCGTCGAAAGCAACGACTGCTTTGCAATTTCGCTGACGTCACCCGCTATCGGACAGGATACGACCGTCTCGGGTCTCCACTCGGGCAAAGTGGAGATGCGTCACAGCCAGCACTGCTCCGACCACGAGCTTGCCAACCGTCTGGTAGTGCAGCAGGTTCTGGCACGGCTTCAAGTCATTCATAGGGATGTTAACGGACGTCAGCGCAGACAGCCACGCGAGAGCACTGTCCGCTGACGCCCTAAGGATGGATTTGAGGCTGCACATCATGCAGCTATTTCCGTTGCAAGGGTTTGTATGAAATCCATCTCGACTTAGGTCATGATATCTTCAGTTTTAGGCTCTGCTGTCCCCCAAAAAACTGTCTGCTTTCGACTCAAATTGCTATGCGACGCGATCGATCGATGCTTTAGCCAATAAGATATAATAAGCTTTGCAAGAGAGCACCAAAAACTTTGTTTCAAGCGTACAAGCAGACAAATATGTTCATCTGCTGGTTTATGAACGAAACAGGCTTAAAAATACCGAACTTTGGGCTCGATGCGCACCCCTCAGAAGTGAATCTTGACAAAATGACACAAATGAACACGACTTAAACCGAAGAACCAAACTAGCTCTGAGCACCCATACCATTCCCCAAAAGTGTTATTCTGTGATTGCCCTTATGCCATGTTCACGCGAGCACTTTCTTTCGATTTAAAAGTTAGCGAGTTGAACTAATTTCCCGACACGCGCGTGGGGCAACGTGTCGGTCCCGGACTGCGCGTCGGGGACTTCGCTAGATCATGCACTGACCTCCAGGGTATAACCTCTGAGGTCGGTGACGCAACAGTGGGGCCTAGTGTAGCCGCTATCGCTCATGCCACGTTCTTCCACGCCCAGCGGCCAGCTGCGGTGAAATGATGGCTGCAGTCAAAACACCCAGCTGGTGATAGCTAGCTCAGTAGCATGACGTCATGGATGCTCCGTACTTGTAAGCATACCTGGATCAAAGCCTGCGGCGTGGCGTTGAAGCAGCGCTGCTGTTCATTGGTGTTGCCAGCCGTGGGGTGGGCGTAAAGGACATCTCAGGCAATTACTTCTTATGACGCCACGCTAGAAGCATATCTACACAGCCCCAATGATCATAAGCCGGAGGGCATTCAGATGAATGCACAAATACCTCCCCAGGCGCTGTAGAAATTTTCCACTTACTTCACCGTATTACTTCTATCCACACGCAAACAAACCAAACGTGATCCTTTGCTCTCCTCATATATAAGCAAGGCGGGCCAGACGCCAAATCCGGTCTTTCTTCCGGAGCGGAGGGGAACCGTCCGCGGTTGGCTTTGACTCGTGATCGATGAGGGTCCGATATCGGCCGTGTGCTGCGTGCCGTTAGCGGGAGTTAGCCAGGCAGCATTACGTTTTGCAGAGCGATCACGCTTGGATTTGGATCACGTTTGGCCTTGACTAGACCTGACCGTCGTGACCTATCTCGCCGACTCCAGCGTGTCTCACCACACTGGCTGAAGCGTTCTCCCCAGTGTCCGCACCCGCGGCTCACACCCGGCGCAGCACCCGCGGCCCGCACCCGGCGCAGCACCCGCCGCCGGTACACCACCCCGTCACACGACGGAGACGTTTCTGTCACGGTGCGGACTGCCCGCAGTCCATTACCGCACCTCACGTGCCAGCAAAGATCGTCCCACGCCACGCCCGCACGTGCCGGCAAAGATCGCCCCATGCCACGCCCGCACGCGAGATGCAGGCGATAACCGATAAGATCTCCCGGCGCTCGGCCTTACGTCAGGGCGGCCGCCAGCTGATGGGCCGGCGTGACGTCACTGGTGGCGGGCCGACGCCGGTCCGCGTGTGAAAGGTCTGCACCCTGCAGGCTGGTCGGCTCGACCCTGCCCCCAAGGCCCGGTGTGGCAATGCCGTCACATATAAAGTAGAGCGCGGCGAGCGCTCAGCAGCATACGCCGCGGTTCGCTCACCATGAAGGTAGGAGCGTGGTGGGGCGCTCTTCCACGCTGAGGACGGCGCCACCGACGTCTGGTTTGAAGCAGCAGTGAACGGAGCTCGCTCGTCCTGGGTCGCGAGGGAAGCGACTCAAACAAGCCCCGTCAGGGCTTTGCTTAACCCCGAGATCGCTTTGATCAAGGAGAGCTCAAGGGGATGGGATCGCTTTGATCGAGGGAAATCGCTCAAGGGATCAATGCCTATCAACACGTGACATTGTATTTTCCAAATACCTACCGGTAGACGCGTCTTTTAACTCTGGTACCGTGTTTCAGATTTTGCTGTGCTCGCTCCTGTTGGCGGTTGCCGCCGCCGACCTCTTGCCGGGTGACCCGAACCACGGAGGTCACCATGGAGGTCACCATGGAGCTCACCACGGAGCTCACCACGGAGCTCACCACGGGGGTCACCACGCGCCCAGTCACGGTCACGGCTCGCAGGAGGTGCACGCGGAGCAGGCCTCGTCGGCGGCAGCTCCGGCCCCGCATTCGCCCGTTGGGCCCTCGTACGACGCACCCGAGCCCGCCTACAAGGAAGGCGAAGAAGACGTCCACGGCGCTCCGGAGCCCTCCTACGGAGCCCCTGAGCCGGCCTATGGGGCACCTGAGCCAGCCTATGGCGCCCCTGAGCCAGCCTATGGCGCCCCTGAGCCAGCCTATGGTGCCCCTGAGCCAGCCTATGGTGCCCCTGAGCCAGCCTATGGTGCCCCTGAGCCAGCCTATGGCGCCCCTGAGCCAGCCTATGGCGCCCCTGAGCCAGCCTATGGGGCCCCCGAGCCATCGTACAAGGCGCCTGAGCCATCCTATGGTGCCCCGGAACCTCCTTACAAGGCCCCTGAGCCATCTTATGGAGCGCCCGAGCCCGCATACAAGGCGCCTGAGCCGAGTTACGGAGCTCCCGAACCTTCTTACAAAGCGCCTGAGCCATCATACGGAGCCCCCGAACCTGCTTACAAGGCCCCTGAACCATCCTACGGAGCCCCTGAACCTGCTTACAAGGCCCCTGAGCCGTCTTATGGAGCTCCCGAGCCCGCTTACAAGGCCCCTGAACCAGTCTATGGTACCCCGGAACCTTCTTACAAGGCCCCTGAACCATCCTATGGAGCCCCCGAGCCCGCGCACAAGGCACCTGAGCCGGCCTACGGAGCTCCCGAACCTTCTTACAAAGCTCCTGAGCCATCCTATGGAGCCCCGCAGCCTTCATACAAGGCACCTGAACCTGCTTATGGAGCCCCTGAGCCTTCCCTTGAGGATCCTGAGCCCTCTTACAAAGCACCTGAGCCGTCCTATGGGTCGCCCGAACCTTCCTACAAAGCCCCTGAACCAGCCTATGGAGCTCCCGAGCCTTCTTATAAACCCACTGAGGCTTCGTATGAAGCCCCTGAGCCCGCTTACAAAGGACCAGAACCTTCTTATCGCGCACCTCAAGCCTCTTACGGTGCCGCTGGACCCTCTTATAAGGCCCCCGAGCCCACTTACGGCGCCCCTGGACCTTCCTACAAAGGTCCCGAAGCATCCTACGGAGCCCCTGGACCTTCTTACAAGGCTCCTGGGCCCTCTTACCCCGCACCGAAGCCTGCCTACGGGCCCAAGCCCTCCTTCGCGCCTTCTCCTTATCGCCCTTCTGCTGGCTACGCCAGCCTAGCTCCCAAGAGCCCTCAGCCCAGCTATCGGCCGGCCGGTTACAAAGCCCCCGCCCCCTCCTACAGGCCCGCCCCCTACAAAGCTTCCGTTTCTTCCTACAAGCCTGAGCCTTATCGCGCTCCTCTGACTCCCTACAAACCGGCTCCGAAGAGCCCAGTGGCGTCCCACTCGTCGTCCTACAAGGGCCCGAAGCCCTCTTACGAGCCGTCTTACGAGACCCCCTACGTTAGGGTAAGCAAGCGCAATCCGTCGACGTACTTCGGACTGCCGAAACACCGTCCTAGTGCGTGGTGAGGCATTGCGTTTCGGCCCACACCCAAACACTGTGTCGATTCAAACCCAGAGCTCAATTGCAAAACCAGGGCAGACCACCCGCGTCAACAGTCCATGTGCATCTCCTAAAAGACATTGTCTTCGTCGTTTTCACACGTCGAGGAGTTCGACGGTCTCTCCGACTGGGCTTTCCTGCGCGGTCACGCGCAGCTCGCTCAGGAGCTCGCGACGGCCGCGGCCGAGCCGACCCAGCCTCGCGCCGAGTGTCCTCAGAGCCGGGCGCCTGCCTGCGGCCCGCAGCAGCGTCGGGCATCGGCCCTGACCGTCACCCCATCCGCAGTCGCCGGTCTCCTACACCTACGACTACGCGGTGGAGGACGGCCACAGCGGCAACGCCTACTCCAAGCAGGAGAACCGCGACGGCTACAACACGCGCGGCTCGTACCAGGTGGCGCTGCCGGACGGCCGCGTGCAGACGGTGCGCTACAGCGCCGACGACGCTGGCTTCGTCGCTGAGGTGGCGTACGAGGGCGAGGCGCAGTATCCGCCTGAGGCTGAGCACAAGGGCGCCGGGTACGTGGCGCCCGAGCCGGCGTACCGGCCGCAGCCCCGCGCTGCGCCAGCGCCCGCCTACAAGCCCGCCAGCTACCCCAGCTAGGTGGCGGCCGACTGTCCTACAGCAAGCTTCTTTCTCTCCTCCGCTTTGTTCTCTCCTCTTCTTCGTTCTCTTCTCTTCGGCGCCTGACTGACATCTCCTCTCGCTGCTGCTGTGGTCGTCGGAGAGCGATATTCTCTGCATCGTTGGGGAGGAGGTGACGACTAACTTCTCCTGAACATCTGGTGGCTCGATTCTCCTCCTCCGTCTCGCTGTTGTTAATCACTGACGTCTTCTCTCTTCTTCTTTAATTGTTCTGTCTGTTGTTCTGTCTGTTATGCTACACTACTTTTTTACTATTGCGCTCGTTTTGTGCTCTGGATTGCTGCCTGTCGCGGAGGATGCAAATACTGGTAACACACTGTACCTTGCCCAATACTTGTATCGTGCCTTGTTGAGTGTCTCGGATCACCTTGTTGTTGCATGTTTCTTTCAGGACGAGATTAAGTGTAGATTTTTGTGGCTGTGTGAACGAATGCCACTTCCTTTTGGCTGGCATCGTCAATAAACAACTCATGAATATGCATTGCCTCTGTTAATTTGGATCGGCGAGGGAAGACCTGCACTTATAACTGAAAGCGTTTCTCCTAGAACGGGTGTGGACACCTCCATGTCGACTCAATTCCCACATGGCGCAAATCCAGGACGCGTACGCACCATTAAAGTCACATAATGACTTCAGAGTAGATCAGGCGCCGCCACCCGGGAAGGGGGACTTCCCCAAGGGGAAATGCGGGCATCTAAGGGGGGGGGGATTTCCGGTGCAGTTGCATCATGTCTGAGCCAACGAAGACATCGCTCAGGCGGCGCCAACGGACAGGTGCTACCTTGAATGTGATGCTGCCAGAGCTTCTGTCATGTACCACATGCACTGAGCTGAGCACATCTGCCGTGCAAGCTAAAGCAGGGCGGTGATTGGACGGCGACCAGCGGGCGGATACGAACCATATTGTTTCTGAATAAAGAAGTATATTTGAACGCTTTAGTGTGTCAGTCCGAACATCTAAAAAGGAAGGAAATCCGTTGAAATTCCGGAAATCCGCAATTAGAAGGTATGTTTCGCTTGTGAAATCTTTAGACTTATTATAGGAACGCATAAGCATTTACAGTACCGCGAACAGGGGATGGAATTTGATGGTGGAGCTAGACAAGCAAAGGCAGAATCTCTGTATTCGTGTCGCTGTCACTGATCGCCTACTCAGAGGACAACCCCAAAATTTTTCTGCTGAAATATATGCCCGCACGTGATTTTTGAACGGTCTGAATTGATTACGAAAGACTTTCGAAACATTATGTCGCGACGGCCGTGTTGGCGCACCGGGCGCCCGCCGCCCGGTGTCAGATGCAACACTAAACGCCACTCGCTTGACGGAAACTGCAGCCCGGGCAATCGGGGTTATTGCTCCCAAGATTACAAGCACGCAAGCTCAAAACTTTCTATGCTGTTTATTTCACATGTCGATCCGAAACAGCGATGGAAGTCCTCATTTGTGTTAACCTTTTTTAATTTTGACCTTGTTTTGATCCGCCTTATCTAAAAATAAGGAAACTGCTAACCTTTTCCGGGTAAGGGGCCGGTGGGTAGAACACAGGGGGAACATTATATTTCGCGGTCAGGAGGTAAAGTAAAAGGCCATTCTGTTACAGCGCGGGTGCAAAGGTGCTAGT